TTCCCTTTCCAACCGGGGCGCCGGGGTCCGTAAGGCCCCCCGGCCCCCCGGCCGGCCGCGCCCCGCCCGCTTCGCCCCGCTCACTGGTGCTCATCTCGCCCAGCCAGCAGGACAGCGCGCCGAAGCGCACGGTGTGGAAGAGCACGGACTTCGGCGGCCGCCCCGGGCTCACGCCGATGCACACGGCGGGCAGCTCGGAGCCCGGCCCCGTCAGCAGCGCGAACACGGGCAAGGGCGTGGGCAGCGGGAACAGCACCTGCTGCGGGGCGCGGGGGGAACGGGCTCAGAGGAGGCTTGTGGCGGGGGAGAGGGTGGGGCGTTGAAGGACGTGGGCTGTCTTGGGAGGTGCCAAATCTAGAAATGTCAGGGGGCCAAGTCTCAGGGGGTTCGGTGGTGCCTCCTTAGAAATGGACGGATGTGCTCTCAGGTCGTCGTGGCTTCCGCTTGGGGGCGTGGTGCTCTGGTGACAGAAAGACGGGGTCCCCCACCCCACCCCACCCCCAGGAGCGTGGCCTCAAAGGCAGCGAAGTCTCAGAGGTTCCAAGGACCTGCACGGGGTCCCCTGAGAGGGCAGAGGTGGGGAAGGGCATTGGGCCTGAAGTATAATGAGGCCGGGGTGAGGGGCGGAATTTAAGGATAGGAAGCCCTCAGAAGGAGACACCCCCACCCTGACCCACGGCAGGCAGGCCGATGGGCAGAACCTTGGGGGAGATTGGGACGAGGCCTCGATTGGAAGTGGGGTTTCATGGAAGTCTCTGCAGAAGCCCGCCTCTACGGCTCCCTACCCGGATCAGCAGGAACTTGTTCATGGGCTGGTACCACTGAAGCAGGACCACAGAGGTCTCCAATGCCCCGCACAGGAAGGGGCCCCCGGAGCTGGAGCCCTCCGCTGTGGGGGAGGGTAAGGACATGATAGAGTCCATCTTCTCCCCCCTTTTCCGCTCCCCGAAAGGCCACACATTTTTTCCCAGGCTCTGGACACCCTGCCTTAACTCTGCAAACCCCTAGGGTGTGTGCAGCCCAAACCCCACCCCTGGCCCAGTCCAGCCCCCTCCCTGCCCCTCAGGGGGGTTTCTCTCACCCACACAGCACGCTTGGCAGCCTTTGGTGTCCTGGATCTTGGTGGAGACCATGTTCTTCCTGCAGAAGAAGGTATGTGGGAATGGAAGGTAGGCAGGGAGGGGGGGTTATGGGGGTCTGAGGTGCCACTGGGGGCTCGTACCTTGCGAGTAGCCGGTGAGGACTAATGTGAGAGATGGGGCTTCCTGCTCTGGTCTCTTTCCTTTCCAGCAGGCCCAGGATGCTATGAGAATACAGGTGGGGGGTCTTTCCTGCAGTGGGTGTATACACAGGAAGCAGGCAGTTACAGGACACTGGACACTCCCACCTTTCGGGGTAGCTTCACTCGCCCCATCACGTTCTCTGAAATTCACAAACCTTGAAGCCTTAAGCACTTTTCACCTAACATGTTTTTTTTAAAAAATATTTTTTATTGATTTCAGAGAGGAAGGGAGAAGAGAGAGACACACATCAATGATGAGAGAGAATCATTGATTGGCTGCCTCCTGCACACCCCACACAGGGGATTGAGCCAGCAACCAGAGTATGTACCCTGACCGAGAATTGAACCACGACCTCCTGGTTCATAGGTTGATGCTCAACCACTGAGCTATGCCAGCAGGGCTCACCTAGCATGTTTTAAACACCCACTATAAGTCAGGCACTGTGCTTGGCACTGGTAACAGTGACAAGTAAAAGAAATACGTTCCTTGCCCTTTGGTGCTTGTAGTCACATAAGAACTATGGACACTTAACTAGCCAGATGAAGTTATACACATTGCAAAGTTTAAGAAGAAACTTATCTAGGAACTTTTAAGTTTATCATCACAGATATTAATTAGCTCATGAATCCTATTTGGTTGGGAGATTCCCCACAAATTAGAAATTATTTTACACAAAGTGTTTATAAAACAATGACACCCCACAAATTAGAAATTCTTTACACAAAGTGTTTATAAAATTAAAACAAATTTTAATCTATAACTTGCTCACTCTATTTTAGTAGTGTGGGCTAAGTTCTAATTGTCCTCTGAACATCAAAGAAAGGTAAAGACTAACTTATTGTAGAAATTCCCTCAAAAGTGACCTGAGAGGTGGGGACTGGGAGATGGGGAAACAGACTCAGGGAGCAGACGTCTCCTGCCCCAAGTGAGAGTGACTGGGATTGGACCTCAGGCTCTGTGAAGGGGAGTCTAGGCTTTTATCAGCTGTGCCCGTCTACCTCCCAACCCCCTGCCCCTCAACCCCTTAGCTTCTGATCCCACCCTTCCCATCACCCCCCATCCCTGATGGCCAGACCTGAGAGAGACATGAGGACATTGTTGATGGAGTACACCCAGGTCGTCCGGCTGGGAAAGAGCTGCAGAGAATGGGGGAGACGGCTCCTGTTGACCTCAGCCATCCCCAGCTCCAGCCCCCGCCCTCAGCCCACCCTGGGAGCTGTCCTTCACCATCTCCAGCGTGGCCTCCTGATCATTCCGGTTCAAGATGAAAATGCCTTCCTCTGCCCCTAGGATCAGGTGCTGATCTTGGGAGAAAGACACAAGGACACTGGGACCTGCCTTATCCTGGGGGACCTCCCAAACCCCCACCTGTCTGATCCCAAACACTGGCACTCTGTCTCCCAGCCCTGACCCTCAGCTCTCTAAGTCTCACCCCCACATCAATACTCCCAGCCTGTCCCCAAATCTGAACTGAAACCCGGATCCAATCCCTCTAACTGGTCTCATTCACACCTTCCTCTGACTTCCCACATTCTGGTGGTTCTTCCATCGCTGACCCACAAATCCTGACCCTCTGTCCCCTCAGTGCTGACCAATCATTAGACATGCCTCTCCAAATAGCCTTCTAAATTCTGTTCCTCTTTTTTTCCTCCCTGGTTCTGGTCCCTGAAGGCTAATCCTGTCTCAGCTTTGATCCTCAAACTCAGGCCCTCTTAAATATAACATGGCTTTTTCTGTTCAGTGTGACACTCCCCAGACGCAATGCTTTTTCTTTAACCTCTCATTGACCTTGTCTCTACATCTTTGATCCCCAAACTCTATCCCTTTCTGCTATAATCTAATCCCAAAACTCCTAATCCCAAAATGCTGATCTTAGTCTCTTTAACATTAGTCTCCAACTGAGGTTAATGGAGTTAATGGGGTCCAACTGTCCCCCATCTTGTATCCCAAACTTTGACCTTTCTGCTGCATCTAATACTCATGGCCCCCAATCCCTAATATTGCTAGTTTTCGCTCTCAAACTCATCTTCACGCCAACCATCTTTGATCCCCAAATCCCACTGTAGCTCCAGGCTCTGTCCCTGCCTCAGCTTGGCCACTCTGCACCCTATTAAGACCCTCCCTGGTCCCTGACTTTGTACCTTCCATTACGGTCCCTCCCCATCCCGCATCCCGCCATGTTCCCTGTTACCCTCCTGAATGCCCACCCTTGGTGGAGGGGTGTGTCCAGGCGGCTGTGCTGTGGATCCGAAGGGGGCAGCCATTGAACAACTTTACAAGAAGGGCACATCCCTGGGCAGGTCATGGGGAGCAGAGCAGGAGATCCAGCAAAAAGAAGGAGTGGACAGAAAGTGCAATGGTTAAAGCTCTGGAGCAAGAGTGCCAGGGTTCAGATTCTGCCTCTCTGCCTCCTCAAAGGTTTATGACCTTGGCATGACCTCTCTACCTCAGTTTCCCCTCTGTGAAATGGGAGACAATATCTACCTCTATCTGTAAAGGTTTACACTATGTAAAGACACGAGATCATTATCTGGCACAGAGGAACTGCTCCACAAATGTCACATATCGTTATTAGTCTTCCCACCCCCACCCCACCCAGCATCCCCAGTCCCATCTAGAGGTGTGAGTCCTCAGCATAGCTGTCCTCACCTTTCTCTTCATCTTTTCCTTCTTGGGGGGCAACAGTGGGGGCTGGTCAGACTGCTGAGGGGTTGGGTTCCAGAGTGAGGGCTCTGAGACAGGATGGGGAATAATCAGTCCCCAAAGCTCCCCCACCCCTACCCACCTCCCACCCTATCCTGCCCTGTTACCTGAATGGGCAGTTAGATGGGGACTCCTGGTGGCTGGGGGAGGTCCAACATGGGGGGTGCGTGGGGGAGGCCCACTGGCACACCGGACCAGCACCCCCGGGCTCAGCTGCCCCTCCTCCCCAGGCCCCCCGGAACCCTCATCCGATGGAGAACGGAACTTGGGCTTTGGAGACAGAGAAGTAGGGCAGGTAGTACATTAGATGATCTCAAAGAGAGAGGGCACCCTGCCATCCCAACCCTGCCTAGGCTACAACGGAAATGTGGTCATAGCTCTGACCCTTCCCACAATGTCCTACCACCACTCCAACTTTCCCCTCCATCCCCACCCCATCAATATACTCCAGCAACTAAAGGATTAATGCTGGGTAACCGGCTACTGACCGGTGTCCATCAGGCTAAATATTTTGAGTCACACCTGTGGATTCACGAATGCCACTCCCATACCCCAATATGCTCATTGTCCCATCTCCCAGATTTCAAAGGAACTGGTGTCCCAGACTACAGCCCTAGAATGCCCGGTATCCCAGCATCTAAGGACTCTAACCTCCTGGCCCCCAGCCCCCCAGCTCTTGACTAAGACCTCACCTTGGGGGGCAGTGGAGGAGGTGTGTCCTCTGAAGGGGTAGGGCTGAAACACAAAGACAGGGTAAGCAGGTGGGGGTGTGGGAAACAAGGATGGAGTGGTTTGGGGCTGCATGTCTGAGGTCAGAAGGGTCAGGGGTGACTCGGTCTGTGATGGAGCTGAGGACTAAAGGACTAATTAATAATCATAATGACAGCCCAGCCTGTGTGGCTCAGTGGTTGAGCATTGACCTATGAACCAGGAGATCATAGTTTGATTCCAGTCAGGGCACATGCCCGGGTTGTGAGTTCAATCCCCAGTAGGGGATGTGCAGGAGACAGCCGATCAATGATTCTCTCTCATCATTGATGTTTCTATATCTCTGTCTCCTCTCCCTTCCTCTCTGAAATCAATATATATATATTTTTAAATAATAATCATGATGACAGTAACAACAGCAACTTTGGAGATCAAGTGCTGACAAGGCGTCAAGTCTAAATCTTCATAGCCACCTACGACACAGATCATCTGAGCTCCTGGGGGTTAGGTTCCCACATGGTTCCTAGTGCCACATGTGAGCCTATTACAGACATGATGGGAGCCCTGAGGCTGACACTGGGCCTGTGGGCTGGGGGCTGATGGCTGGGGTTGAGGTTGGGATCTGGGGCCCAGGGTCTAGTCTAACATGGGGAAAATTCCCAGGGGCCAAGGTCCAGTCAGGTTTTGTGAGATGAGGAAAGATGAAGGCCTGTGGTTGAGGGTTGGGGCTGCAGTTGAAATCTGGAGGTTGGAGCAACGTCTGGGAGGAGCTGGGGGTTGGAGATGGCAGAGGGTCCAGGGTTGAGCCGGATAGATGGGGAAAGAGCCCAGGCTGGAGCAGGACATTCTGGAAGGAACTGGGGTTGAGGGCAGGTGGGAGCTGAAGTTGGGAGTCAGATCAAAAGTCCTATAAAAAGTTGGAAGGAAGGTGGGCTTGGGAGTTAAAGGTCTGAGGTGAAGGAAGTTGAAGGGCTGAGTTTGGGTGGGGCTAGGGAGAGACAGAAACATCAATGAAGGAGAGTGGGGGCTGGGCTGGGAGTCAGGTTGGGGTCATAGGTTGGGAGTGAAGGAAGGTGGAGGCTCCACTGAGGGTCCAGTCAGGGGTCAGGGATGAGTGGTGGAAAGAAAGTAGGGGCTGAGGTAGGGGTCAAAGTAGAAACAAGGCAGGGGCTGCAGGAAGGCAGGGGCTGGGTGAGGCCTGAGGAGCTGAGGGCCCAGCCTCTCTTACATGTCCACGTCATCGTAGTCATCATCAGACTCCGACTGGTGCCTCCTGAGGAGTGACAGGCATAAGCCTCAGGTAGTCCCCACATATATCCTAGCCCCCTCCCCTCCCAGCCTTAGGGTCCCTGACCTAGGACTGCTGCTCCTGAAGTCTTCAGGGGGCTGTAAGAGAGCCTGTGGAATAGTAAAGGGTCAGCAGTAGCCTAGGTCAGTGGTCGGCAAACTGCTGCTCTCGAGCCATATGCGGCTCTTTGGCCCCTTGAGTGTGGCTCTTCCACAAAATACCGACTTCTGTGCATGGGCCACGAAGTTTCAATCGCACTGTACATGCACGCCTGCAGTTTGCCGACCACTGGCCTAGGTGAAGGGGAGGGTGTTTGGGGCCAGACAGGTGGGGGAAGGGGCATCTCACAGTGTCAGCTGCAGGTCTGGACTCCATTGCTCTGAGCTTCCTGAATTCCATGTGCCGTCCTGGAAGTTGGGGGTGGGAAGGGGAGGTAACACACAGTGAGCTGGGGAGATGGATTCAGAAATAGACTAAAATTGTGGAGATTGGGTCGGCACCTTAGGATTGGAGCTGTTACTTAAAGGAAAGTCCCAAGGTTTACAGGGGTCTCACTTGGGTATCAAGGTTTGGGACCAGGGAGGTAGGGGCTAAAGTAGTGATAGAGTGTTCAGTTTCAGGTTCCACTGGGTATCGGGGGTCTGCCATATTTCTGAGGTCTCTCTGGGAGTCAGGGTGGTAATGGGAAGTCTGAAGGGGTCTGTTTGCAGGTCAGAGCAGTGGGGCCTCTAGAGTCACCTTGTAGGTCAGGTAGTAATGAGGTTCTCTGGGGTCTCTTGTGAGTGAGAGGGTGATGGGGTCTCTGAGGGTCTGTTTGGAAGTGATGAGTGATGTAGGAGTGAAGGGGGTCTCTTGGATCTATTATAGGGTCAAGTGTTCCCAAGTTTGAGGCCTCTCTACTCACGACAACAATCTGCATCTGGAATCCCCAGCGAGCTGGATCGGTGGGTGGATTTGATCCGCCGAGGGATGGCAGGGGGTGGCTGGGCAGAGTGGCAGCTGTGTCAGGCCACTCCCTTCCAGCAGCCCCACCACCCTGTGGGCCCAGCCTGGAGCCCTTGACCCTCCCATGACCTCTGTGCCCCCCGCCCTGTGCCAAGCCCACCATCCTCCCTCCCATTTATCCTTGCAAGAGCAGCAGCAGGAAGTCACTCCAGGCAGGCGGCCTGGCCTGAGCAAAGGCTGGGAGGTTCCAGGGCTTCTGTCTGCCAGGAACCCTCACCTCAGGCTCCTCATCTTCAGTCTCACCAACAGGAGTCCCCTTCCCTGGGTTCCTCAGTTTGTCAAGAAGATCCAGGATCAGGCCTCTATTTAGCCCTGGCTGGGATACCAGTTGATGCTGGGGGAGGGGAGGAGGGTGTCAGCAGGCAGACAGCTGGTGTGAAGGGAGAGGTTGGAACAGGGGCTGGAGAGCCTGCCTAGGGGAACAGAGGGAGAAAGCAGGAAACTCTGGGGAACTGGCAGAAGACCAGAGAATGCTGAGGTGTCTGAAGATACTAAAATAATTCAAGGATCCTGGTGTGGGGCTCGGAGAATTCCATTCCAGTGTACACCCAGGAATGGGTCTTGAGGCTCTTGGGAATTTGTGAGTTTTAACAACTCAAGGTATCTTGGAAAAGGGTTTGGGTACAAGTTGGAGGGTCTTAGGGGACATCGTGGGGAATTCTGAAGGACTAGGGACTCTGAGAGGGCCATGGGGTTCTGTGGAACTAAACCATCAATGTTTAGAGAGCCATGTGGCCCTGGGGAATTCTGGGGTGAGAGTCTGGGGAGGGTTTGGGGGAGGGGCGGTTTACACTGAGCATCTTGGTGGCGCTGGGTCGTTTCTTGGCGTTTTTGGTGAGGGAGACTTTAACAAAGTTGTGGAAGGCAGCAGACCTTGGAAGAAAGAAGCCAAGTTCTGGGGTGAGGGGACCAGAGACCCATCAGACCATCAACCCTGGCTCTGCCCTCCCTCTCATCACCTCCTCCTACCATTTGCCTTTTTCCTTTAGCCGGGGAGGCTGATAGCCACTCTTGGTCATGAGGAAGAGAACTCTACAAGAATAAGGAGAGTACGTGGAGTTCAGACTCCCAGTGGGGGCCAGAGGTAGCACTGAAGTCAGCAGAGAGCAAGTGAGGGGCAGAATGAGAATGAGGCTTAGGTTTTACTATGCACTGGGTTGCCACTTCCAGGGGACACCACATGTCACATTATAGAGCTATGTGAGTCGCAGAGGGAGGCTCAAGATGGGGATCCCTGAGTTGGGGGTTCCTGGTGTGGAGGACTGAAGAAAAGGCTTTCTGAGTTGAGGGGATCCTTGGGGGTCTCAGACTGGGTTTGCAGGAAATGGGGGCTCTCCTATAGGGGAATCTTGATGTGGGGAAACAGGCTGGTGGGGGTGCTTAGAGGCAGGGCTGGGCCCTGGGGGGCGGGGGGGCAGTGACACCTGCTTACCTGAGAGGGTGCACATCAAAGAGCGGTGGCTGTAGCTCTGCTAGTTCTATGGCTGTGATGCCCAGAGACCAGATGTCACACAGCTCATTGTATCCCCCCTTCAGGGCAACGGCAGCCACTTCTGGAGCCATCCTGGGGGCAGAGACCCTCAAGAGCCAGGGGTGACATAAAGGAGGGGGAGGGGAATGGGAGGAGTGGTGTGGGGAGTGGGGAGTGGGGGGAGAAGAGATACAAAAAGAGAGAGGAGAATGGAAAATAGAGAGAACCAGATGCAGAGAGAATCAAAGATGGAGAGAAAGAGACAGATGGGAAAACAGAGTGAGAGAGATAGGAACAGAGACAGGGCCACACTAAGAAAAATAACAGGGAGATATCAGGATAAAAAATCAACACAAACACTAACTAAAGGGAAAACTCAAGAATAAGGAGAGTACGTGGAGCTGAAGGGAAGATAAAATATTCAACAGAGCAAGGCAGAGGCTGGGAGAAGGAGCCAGAAGAGTCTCAGAGATGGGGATGGGTGAGGGAGGGACTGCTGCCCCTCACTCTACCCCTAGCTGCCTGCCAGGCACCCCTCACCAGTAAGGTGTCCCAATGAAAGAGAGGCGTCGAGCCAGCGTTGCCCCGATCTGGGCTGAGATACCAAAGTCAGCTGGAGGCAGAGGGAGAGACAGTGACCTAGGGTCCTCTCGGGCCCCTAGCCAGTCCACCTCCTCAACCCCCAGCCACACTTACCCAGTCTGACCTCCCCAGAGTCATTGATGAGGATGTTGGCTCCCTGGGGACAGAGGAGAGATTAGAGGCTATCAGAGACCACCACCCCCAGCCTCTACCCCTTGGCCCCACAGCTCAATATCACCCTAAGCCCTCCAAATACCACTCCCATCTCCTGCCCCTCCCAAGGCCACCTTTCTGCCCCTAGACCACCTTAATGTCCCGGTGTATCTTCTTCTGTGAATGCAGATAGGCCAGTCCCTGGGGAGGGAGGTAAACAAGGAGGCTGTGAGAGCCTGGGGGCTGGAGCAGGGACCTGCCCCCACCCAGGCCTCTCCTCACCTGGAGAACTTCTCGGCAGACATAGCTGATCTGGAGCTCTGACAGGGAGCCTGTCACTGTAAAGGTCACCCCAGCACAATGTTGTCTGGGAATTAGGAAACCTGGCCCAAGAGCTCCTGGTCCCCGCCCAAACTGGCTGAGAGGGTACCGTGTGAGGAGTGGGATACAGGCACAGGATGAGACAAGTGGGAGGGGAGACCAATGGGTGGTCAGCAACAGAGAGAGGCAGCAGGGAACCAGAAGCCAGATGGAGACAGAGATTCATTCAACAGACATTTATTGTGTGTTTACTGTGTGGTAGGCGCTGGGGACACAGCTGTGGACGAAAAAGACAGATCCCTACCCTCACAGAGAGAACATTCCAGCGGGGAAGACCAACAGTAAACCAGATAAGGAGGTAAAATATACAGTATGCAAGATGCTAATAAATAATAAGAAAAAGCAAGAAAGAATGAACAGGAAACGTGTGGGAAGACTACGACATTTTACTCAGGCTGGTCAACAAAGGCCACTCTGTGAAGGTGACAGGATGAAGATGTGAGCAGTCCTGCTTGGAGTGGGGACAAAAGCCAGTGCAGAGCTGGGAGGCGGGAGGTGCCTGGTAGGTCTAGAAAGCAGCAAAGTGAGTGGAGCCTCAGGGAGACGAGATGAGGCCGCTCAGCATGGGGTGCAGTGGTGTCAGACTGATGGGCCACGATGAGGAGCTTGGGATTTTCAGAGGGAAATGGAGGGTCTGGGAGGGCTCTGAGCAGGGGGTGATGGGACTTTGCAAAATGAGGAAAGGCAGAGAGACAGAGACAGACAGACAGACAGACAGACAGAGAGGCGGGAATAGATCCAAAGTGAGACAGAGAAAGAAAGATGGTCAGAGACCAAAAAGTGGGAAGACAGACATATTGAGAAAGAGAGACACAGGGTGGAGAGGGAACAACAGAGAAAGGCAGACAGAGACCAGGTCTGACAGTCTTGCTGCCTGAGTCATTTTCTCTGTGGGTCTCAGTCCCCCCCCCCTCACCCCCCCCCAGGACTTCTTAATGGAGTCCTTCCTTTTCTAACACTTGAGGTGTTGGGATGGAGGGAGACAGGGAGATGGTGAAAGAGAGAAGTGGGCATCAGAAGTCGAGAGGTGATCACAGGCAACTCCACCCTACCCTCAAATTCTCCAAGAGAAAAATAGACAAATAAATACAAATAAATAAAAAAATTCTCCAAGAGAGTGAAAGCAGGATAAGAGAATCACTCATTCAATGAAAATGTGGGCACCTTGCCCTGACCGGTTTGGCTCAGCGGATAGAGCGTCGGCCTGCGGACTCAAGGGTCCCAGGTTCAATTCCGGTTAAGGGCATGTACCTTGGTTGCGGGCACATCCCCGGTGGGGAGTGTGCAGGAGGCAGCTGACCGATGTTTCTCTCTCATCGATGTTTCTAACTCTCTATCCCTCTCCCTTCCTCTCTGTAAAAAATCAATAAAATATATTAAAAAAAGAAAAGAAAATGTGGGCTCCTCCTATGAGCCAGAAATGCAGAAATACTCAAACACGAATAGACCTTGGTGAGAAAATGCAGACACAGAGGAAGCTGGGAGAGGGAAGTAGAGGAGATCATTGCATGCAGACAGATTGGGGCTGGCAGGTCCTGGTGGGGAGGGCCCAGGGCCCAGAGGAGGGGGGGGCTCATTATGTAAAATATAGACCAGAATAAACAGTTACAGGACCCACAAGCACAGACAGACAGGAGAGGTGGATTGGAGGGGCAGGGGCTGCCTGGGTCCCTTGCCCTGCTCTCACCTTGGTAGATGTCCTGAAGAGAACCAGCCCCACAGAATTCCATGCAGATCCAGAGCTTTTGCAGCCTACAACAGTTCAACAGCAGTAATAATAATAATAGCAGTGATAAATTATTATTTATTGGACAGCCCCTGGCTCATTGTCTTGTTCTGACATTTTTGGGTTTTTTAATCCTCACCAGAAGGTATATTCACTGACTTTTACAGAGGGGGAAAGGGATATATATATATATATATATATATATATATATAGAGAGAGAGAGAGAGAGAGAGAGAGAGAGAGAGAAAACATTGATCAGTTGCCTCCCCCCCCGCCCCCACCACATGTGCCCTGACCCCTGGCCAGGGACTAAATCGCAACCCAGGCATGTGTCCTGACCAGGAATCGCACCCATGACCGGTGCACGGGAGGATGCTCGAACCAATTGAGCCAAACCAGCCAGGGCTCTGATCTTTTAATGTAACAGCAGTCATCTCTAACTTTCCTTGCCCACAGCGTGAAATGATCCCACTTCCATTTTATAGATGGGGAAGTTGAGGCTCAAAGAGGAAATGTATGTTCAGATCAACTGGACTCAAACCCACGTCTTTGGCTCCTGACCTAGGGCACCCTCTGCTGTCCCATGCTAACGTAGGAGATAGGGTAGAGATCTCAGAGGTTGAGGAAGTTAGAGGGGACACAGAGGCCCAGGGTGCCAGGTCTGAGGGACAGAGTCATTATTGGGGCATCTGGGGTATTAATGTGGGGGGCAGGTAATTCAGGGGTTCATATTAAAAGAGCAGAGAGTGAAACTGGGGGAACCAAAGCACAGGATGAAAGGTTAGTTTTAGGGAACTTAGTTTCAGATTTGGTTACTATGAAGAGGTCGATTTGGGGACCCCTGGTCAGAAATGGGAGTTCTGAATGAAGATTAGATTAGGGGGTGTTCCAGTGAGAAATGCAGAACTTTGGGCTGGGGATTAAGTTAGGGGTAACTCAGTTAAAATGAGCGTCCAGGATAAGAGGTTAGGGGGTACCCTGGTCAGGAATGGGGGTCCTGGGATAGGGGGCAGGTCTTAGGTTCATCACCAGAGATAACTCCCGTGGTAGGCCACAATGTTGGCGTGCCGGCAAGTTTTCAAGATGAGGATTTCCTTCTGAAGTGTGGAAACATCATCATCTGCAAAGAGGGCCAGGAGAGAAAATTTCACTGCAGGGAAGGAGTATGCGGGCGAGCCCAGTGTCCTAGGAAGTTGGGGTGGGGTGTGGGGAAGGATCTCCTGGGACCTCTCCTCACCAGGCTCCATCTTCACCATCTTCAATGCCACCAGGTCCCCCGTCACCTTGTCTCGAGCCTTGTAAAAGGGAAGTTGACAGTCAGGCCGTCTCCATTCCCCCGAATTCCTCTTCAGCATGCCTGAGCCAGCATCAAAGACTGGGACCCTCTCTCATCCCTCCCCTTCTTGGGCTTCAACACAAAGGCCACTGGTTGGAGGGTGATGGAGAAGGAAGGGGGTCCTCACCTTGAAGACTTCTCCATAGGTGCCACCACCCAGCCGCTGCAGCAGGTCGTAGTGGTCCCGAGGGTCCCTATTAAATATGTCGGGGTCCACGAGGTCCATTCCTGGGAGCCGGAGCTGGGCCTCCGCCCAGGGGCCAGCAGGGCCTCAGGGCTGGAGTGCTGGCACCTCCCTCCCTCCCCACACACCCTGCACCCGCCTCGCCTCCACCGGCTGTGGCCTCCCCCTTCCCCGCTCTCGTTTCCTGCCCCAGCGCAGGGCTGTGCAGCCAGCTCCACCCCCAGTCCCCTGGGCCCTGAGAGCCTGTTGGGACAGCTTGCCTTGGGACCCACGGGACCCCTCTCCACCTTCAGGGCCCTGGACAGAATGTAAATCAGATGCAAACTATCTTAAGTGTGTCCTGATGGGTACCTCGGCACCCCTTCCCCCATTCTGGGTGGTGGCTAAAAACCACAGCTGAACCTCTGCTGAGTGCTTGAGGGTTTGGCCACAGCCCAGAGATGGCAGGTCTGCACAGGGAGCCGGAGCTGGGCCTGATCATTCAGTGTACATTACTGCTCACCTTGGGCACAGACGTGCACTTAGTCGTGGACCCCCTGTGTGGTGTGCAGACCAACCCAACGTGCACATGCCTGGATACGCATGTGCACACATGTGGTGTACCTAGAGCCCAGAGCACATACCTCCACATATATAACACATGCCTGTACATTCATGCCTGCAGTGTTCAGAATCTGTATCCACATAACCTATGATGACACACATGGAGAGCTCGCTTTCACCCAACATACTGTAGTCCGTGAACTGGGTGCCAATCTGCGGGATTCAGGGGTCCCTCACCCCTGTCCCTCCTGGGCAGACCACCCCAACAGCTTTGCGGGCCCCTCCCCCTAGAATTAGGGTGGAGCATGGGGACCAGTTTCAGGCTTTTGAAACTATGGAGCTCAGGATCCGGCTGGGGGCCCAAGGCCTGGGGGAAAGAGGCCGTCGGAGCTAGGATCACGGCTCAAATGGAAGGCTACTACGTGCATTCCAACAGTTTTGTAAGTTCAATACGGCGAGCAACGCGACCTGCGCGCACCCCGTCGGGGTCCGCCTCCTTCCTAGCGAGCTCGCGCGCACGGCCTGAGGACGAAAGCGCGACGCCCACGAACAGCTTGGCCCCGCCCCTCGCCCCGAGACGGCGCCAGCGCGTTGGCTCCGCTAAGCTTTTAGTCTCGCTGATGGTCCAGTTCGGGTGGAGAAGGTGCGCACGCGCTGACGGCGCCCGCTGGGAAGAAGTCACGTGGCAGCCGGAAAGCGCGGCAGCCACCGCGAGAACCTTCCCCCTTCAGCGCCTCAGGGCTGGGAGCGAAAACAGCGACGTAGTTTCCGTTTCCGCCATCTCTTCCTCTTCCGGTCCTCTAGGACGCCGCACGGCCGGTACTGCGGCTCCATCCCCCGAGAGGGAAGCGACCGCAGGCATGGCCATGTTTGAACAGATGAGAGCGAACGTGGGCAAGTTGCTCAAGGGCATCGACAGGTCTGAGCCTGGTCGGAGGGAGAGCTTCTGGTCGAGCGGGTGGAGGAGAGCCTTTCCGCAGACCGCGAGGGCTGGCCAGGGTCCCGGGCTTGCGCGGGGTGGTTTCCAGCTTCTGGAGGAGCTGTTTAAGGGGAACAGCGTTGCAAGCGCCCCGAGGCGGGAGATTGCCTCGCCTTGTCTCCCCTCCTTAATTGTCTTAAGGCCTCTCTCTCAGCCCCTCAGTCTTCCTCTCTGTGACACTGCCTCTTCATCTCTACCTTCTTTTCTCATATCATTCATTCAACACATGCTCCCTGTCAGCGCCGGGCAACGTTGGGGACCAGAAGTGACCAAGACAGCCGCTGGCCATGCTTTCATGGAGTTCCCAGTTCAGAGTCATGACAAAACCGTCAATAGATAGTGATAGCTGAGAGCAGTCAGAGCTGCGATGGGGGAAGCACAAGCAGATTGGTCAGAACTGCAATGGGAGAAGCTTGAGCCGAGAGGATGGGGCTGGAACAGGGGTGAGGCCTGGGCAGGGGAGGAAGGGGTGTGTGTGTCAAAGATGTCCGGGAGCCCAGGTATACAGGTTGCAATGACTGACTGTCTGAGAGGTTGGGGAAGCATCCCAGGCATTAGACCCCTGGCTCCGATGGGATTTAGCTTAGGCTCAGGTCTGAGATATGGGTAAGATAAGAGAAGAGAAGGAGGAAGGAGGAGCAGGTTACTGTGCCCACCCCCCATCCTCAAAAAAAGTAACTGGCCTCAGCTCCTGTCTCCTCTCTGCTCATCCATCTTGCTTCTTCTCTAGATACAATCCTGAGAATCTGGCCACCCTGGAGCGCTATGTGGAGACACAGGCCAAGGAGAATGCCTATGATCTGGAAGCCAACCTGGCTGTCCTGAAGCTGTGAGTGTCTGCCTCCAACCCCAACCCATGCCAGTGGCCAGCAGGGTACCACTCCCAACACTGGGTGTTACAGGAGTAGCCTACAGCATGAAGCATCTTTGGTGTGCAAAACTAGGAATCCAAGGAAGAGCAGGAAGATGGATGTTTTTAAAAATTAATTACAAAACACACATACAGGCTAGTACATAAAACAAATACAGTTGGCTCTCCATATCCACAGGATCCACATCAGTGGAAAGGTTGAAAACGTTCCCCTAAAAATGTGATGTTGCTGATGTGTTGTGTAGTTAGACCTACAATGGTTATATTTGTATTAAACATGTACAAACTTTTTTCTTGTTATTCCCTAAACAATACAGTATAACAACTATTTACATGGTATATAATTGTATTAGGTTTTGTAAGTAATCAAGGGATGGTTTAAAATGTATGAGAGGAGCTCTAGCCAGTTGACTCAGTGGATCTTCTGCATCTGACTGCTTCCACTGAGCACTGGATTAATGAGGTCCATCCATTTTCTATGTGGCTGCAGTTTTTACCCATTTTCCTATTAACAGATGTTTGGGTTTCTCCCCCTCAGTACTTTATTGGCACACAGCTGTGTAATTTTTACGATTCCATAGCTTCAGTTTTAACATCTGTAAAATAGATGTATTTACAGGGTTGTTTAGGTTGTTATTGGTGATAATCACTACTTAGGGAGTATTCACCATGTAGTAGTTTGCTGTGGTATAAGCTTTGTATGTATTAACTCACTTAGATGCTGTATTGTCCTTGTGAGGTAGATGTGGTTGTAATTGCCCCCTTTTGCAAGGGAGGAAACAGATGCACAGAATTTAAAATAAGTCCATGGTCACTCAGCAGGGAAGTTTAAACCCAGGCATTCTGGCTCCAGAGCCCTAAACCACTATTTCAAACTTCTCTATGTACTCATTTATTTATGAATCACTTAACAATTAACAGTATCTGTCTTACTGGGTGGTTGTGAAAATTAACTGTCCTTGTCGACAGAGCAGGCAAGTAGGGTCAGGGAGGTCACATAGTCAGAGAATCTGTGGTTGGGACTGGAACCCAGGCATGTATAGTTCCCAGGCCCTGGGCCAAAGCAGTGTGTACCCTGCGTCACACCTGGTGAGGCTTCTGGGACCTGGAGATGTCACCTGTTGCTGTGTCTTTTGTTTCCCTTCTCAGGTACCAGTTCAACCCAGCCTTCTTTCAGACCACGGTCACTGCTCAGATCCTGCTAAAGGCCCTTACCAACCTGCCCCACACTGACTTCACCCTTTGCAAGTGCATGATTGACCAGGCCCATGTATCCTTCCAGTTCTCAGGCCCAGGTGTGTGTGGGAGGAGGCAGGGGCAAGAGAGATCATTTCACTGGGAAGTGGTCTGTGAGTTTAGTCACACTTGAGTGCCTACTCTGGGCTTGGCCCATTGCTGGGTAGGGCTGGGGCCCTGTGGTGGTTAAGACAGCCTCCAATAGTCAGGGCTCAGGGTTAGAGGGGCCAGAGGAGGCACCTGACCTTGCCTGGATGTTAGAGCTTCCTGGAGGAGAGACCATCTGAAAGATGAGGAGTTAGGTGAAGTGGTAGGGAAGGTGTTCCAGGCAGAGGGAACAGTAGGGAGGCCTGGAGGAAAAGTTCAGCATAGCCATGCCACAGCTTTCAAAGTGGAATTTGGAAGGGCACCAGGGAGCTGTAGAGTGATGGGGGTAGATTTATGCTTCAGAAAGATTCTCATGAGGATTCTAGTTGAGTAAAGACCACCTGGCCAGAGGCAGGAGGAGCTGGGTGCTGGGCAACAGGCAGAAGCCATGAAGAGCTGGATTGTCGGCTAAACTTCATTTTATGTATCCTCATTGCCTACCTAGCACAGTGCTGGCCTTCAGTGAAAAGCTGTTGAGTGAAAAAATCAGTGAATTGGATTCCCCCCACTTCCCCTTGCTTTTTTGTAGCTGATCTAACACTTAGCTAAGAAAGCCTCTAACTTTCCTTTAATTACTTGAGAGATTTGGCAGAGTCTCCCAACCATGCTGAGCCCTATGCTCATAGTGATCACCATCCCGGGGTTGTCACAACTACTTGCCTATTACTGGCTAAGCTGAGAAATGGCTGCTTACTCATTGAACCTGTTCTGCCAGGTGTGTCCATGGAGGTCCCTCCCTTCTGAGAGATTGTCCACCTTCTCAAGGGTTCTGTTCTGGTGGTTTTAAAAAAAATAGGCATACAGTACATTGTTAAAAGTACATAAAAAAATTTTATGGGGGAAATGGCTTCTCTCCCCTCCTAGGAGGCAACAGTTGTTTGCTGTTCTTGGGGACCTTTCCACAGATGTCCTGTAGCTACATAAGTACAGCTGTGTATGTTTATATACACACTAGAGGCCTGGTGCACGAAAATCATGCACTCGGGAGGGGTGGGGGGGGGTGGTCCCTCAGCCAGGCCTGCACCCTCTCGCAGTCAGGGAGCAGTCGCACATCCTTAGTACTGCCAAGGAGGCTCCCACCACCACCAATGCACTTCCAGCCAAGAGCCCAACTTCTGGCTGAGCAGTGCCCCTGCGCGCACCCCCCCCCCCCCCCCCCGCCATGGAGCACACCAACCAGCAGGGGGCAGCTCCTGCATTGAGTGTCTGCCCCCCTGGTGGTTAGTGTGTGTCATAGCAACCTGTCGTTCTGCCGTTCGGTCAGTTTGCATATTAGCCTTTTATTATATAGGATAGCA